GCAGAGTTGTCTCTATCTAAAATTCCTTTAATAAATTATATTTTATTTATTATTTTCTTGACAGTATTAATAAAAACCATTATTTATCTTTCCATTTTATTGATTTTATCTCTTATTTTATTATTTCTTATTCTTTTCTTAATAATAATATAAAGTGAAGGCTGATTTCGTTAATAGTATTTTGGCAAATACTAGTATTATATTATTAGGATTTAAAAGCCACATATAGCTGTCAACGGTCTGGTTATTAGTGCTTTCTTTCCTCTGGTTATATCTCAAGATATTTCTAAGTTCTAAAGTCTAATAATCTTTGTAAAGGGGAAGCATTTGCTATACCTGACCTATACAAACTGGCCAATAGGTTTAACTCTAAACACGATTGCCTATTGCTAATCACTTTATAGTATCTAGGGGGCTATTGAATTTAAATCCTGTTTTATGTTTTTCTTTTCTATTCTTTCTTTTTATTTTTTTTAAATAAAAGATTGTCCACTTGGCACTTGTGTCTTTTAAAATTTGCTACAGCTTACTAGTTTTTAGTAAATTTTATTACAATTTGGTGACGATGACAGGACTTATCTTTCCAATTTAAGGAAAATATTTAGTATATATGAGCACAGCTCTACCTCGAATTGCAATATTTGGAGAACCAGATTATTCTTTTGCACAAACAAGAGAACTATTAGCTTTATTTTCTTCTTCTTCTTTTTCTTCTCTTTCTGTTTCTTCTTCTTGTTTTTCTTCTTCTATTATTTCAAATTCTAGGTTTCAGAAACAACTAATTGATAATTATCAAAATAACAACATGGATAATCTTCAAAATTTATGGGAAAATGCTGTTAATCAATTTGACTATATTATAAATAACAATGATATGATGAACAATGATAATAGTTTAGATAATCTATATATTAACAACGGTTCTTCTTTTAATGATCTTCCTCCTAATGATTAGAATACAGAAGCTGGTATTCACTTTGTACCAAATCCCTATACATATTCTCCAATATATCAATCTTCTAAAATAGTATCTCACAATTCACCTTCTATGTCTTCAACTTCAACAAATATTCCATTTATATCAACTTCAACTTCAACAAATATTCTATTGATGAGTTCATCATCATCGATCTATAAAGACAAACAATTCTCTGTTAAGTTAGATGACTTATCTCCTTTTAATTTTAAAGGCCTACCTGAGGAAACAATATCTAATGATTCTCAAGTTCAACAAGTTTTCTATCACTTTAATTGTTTAGTTAAAGCTATGGAAAAAGGACAATTTCAATCTTCTAAGGAAACTTTTCTTGTTCATATTCTTGTCTTTAAAAGAGGGGAGCAGGATCCTATATATTGGCTAAATAAATTTGCAACTGCATGTTCTGTTAATAATATCCAGGAACCTGAATATTAATTATTATTCCTGCTTATCTAAAAGGATCAGCACAGTCCTGGTAGAGGACTATTGCTAATAAAGTTTAGTATTGGAAGAATGATTTAAGGCCAGCTCAATCTTTCGTCCATTTATTTCAACTTCAATTTTGCACTACCCATCAAAAATCTCGATGGCTTGCTGATCTCTGATCTCAAGTTCAATAATCTGGTAAAACTGTTGAGGATTATTATGCTGAATTGGAACATTTATATTGAAAAATTGATCCAAATAATCGACATCTATTAGAGGATAAACTACAGCAATTTATTAATAGACTAAGGAGTGAAATTCAGGAATCAGTTGAAATTTCTTGCTCTACTACTATAGCTCAGGCCTTAATTTGTGCCAAAGCTGCTGAAGCTGCTTTCTTTCGAAGAATGTCTCTTGGTTTTTATTCTCTAAATAGAGGATATTTTAACCATTACTCTCCTTCTTTTTATCATCCTGGTAATACTATTCCTATTAATAACCAGCCTAATAATAAAGTTTCTCAAGCTGTTTAGGCTATTTTAAACTATTTTAAACAGCAATCCTAGCCAAAATCAAATACTTCTCAAAATAATAATAACAATAACTATCGTAACAACAATAATAATAATCGTAACAACAATAACAATAATCAAAATAATGATTCTTCTCAACGAAATACTATTGTTTGTCAAATTTGTAATAAACGGGCCATAGTGCACGTGATTGCTATCAAAGGAATAACAATAATAATTTTGGCAATAATAATCAAAAGAAAGAAAATTTTCAATATAATAACAATAACCAAACCAACAATAATAATTATCAACTATCAAAAAATAACTCTCAATCACAATCATCTTCAAATAAACAAAAACCTCAACCTACATATTATACCCTTCTGCTGAGGAGTTACAAAACTTTGTTCAAAACTCAGCACAGTCTTTAAACTCCTAAAGATATACTGTGAGAGCAGTAGTGCCTATCAATCAATCTCTTCTTCTAAATCTACTTCTTTATTAAATAATTATAATAATAATCAATTATCTATCTTAAAGGACAATAATTCTAATTTTATTAATAATCAAAATCAGTTTAAATCAGCAGCCTCACTGATTTCTACTAATGAACAACCAAAACTCAAGGAAGTTATGGATATAGTTTACTGTAATGCCAGTGTTGATAAAACTCCGTTTTATTTAATTCTGGATACAGGATCACTTACAAGTGTAATGTCAAAAGCTTTTGCTGACAAATTAAATCAGTTTAT